TTAGATTTCATAATAAGCCGAACGCATCTCTTCCAGCCAGGTCCTGGTTAGATCCCGACCAAGTGGATATCCTGGAAGTTGAGTTGGTGTTACCACTTCGACAATGACGCCGTTCGCGACAACTGCAACCGTCCGCAATCACGCGAGGTACAAGCAGACCTACAGCACGACATGAAGTGGGCTTCTGTGGAAAGCTTTGTGTTTGAAGTGGTTTGCGCATTGTAGCACGAGTATGTGCCGACCCGTGATTGCATGAGTTGTCAACCGCTGGGGCTCACTGCTAGTAACCTTGGGCGCACACAGTCTATCATGTTGTCCAACGAGTCTGCAGAAATATTCTAGCAAATGTGCTAAGTTATACTGGTCGGTGGATCACGCCAGTCTGCACGGTCTGTTCCCGAAGCTAATGTATGCAACGTGGATAGGCAAGCGGACATGAAGTCTACTGGAAGCACCAACAATGGACGCCATCAACAAACCGACGAACAGCAGACGTTCGTGAATATCGCAACGTTGCATTAAGGAATATTTGCAAGCAAATATATCTTTCTTTCCGATTAGAATAGGCAAAGGGAATCTTGGACGTACTCAAAGCGTTTCGTCCCCCATCATGCTTCTCACGGCGTTCTCTCAAGTCTCGCTTCTGTTGACGTTGACCATTCATGCGGCTATAATTCCTGACGATCGACCTGAGATCATCCCGGGTCCTGGGCTTCCGTCACTAGAATCTCTTAACCTGACTTCAGCTGACCTATATGAGTTGCCGTTGCCGGGAGGTTTGACTGGTAAGACTTCGTGTTCATGGGCCATGTACTCATATGTGACATCACTTAATACTCTACAGCTCAAATAACCACCTCGGACAACGAACTGGTATGCGGACCAGAAGACAGCGCTTACACTAGCGTCGAAAATCTCATCGTCTGCTACCACTATCTTCGGAGCCTAGGCCGGACGCCCTGCGAGTTGGAGAATAGAGAGGCGAGAGCATTGTGTTGGCATGGAATCGATACTGTCGTCGTTGGTATAGGTCGAACAGGAGGCCACGAGAGTAGCTACTGGTATGCTCAGCTTCTGCCACCTTTGGCGATAATCAATCTGACACACCAAGTAGCATCGATTTGTCAGTAGGGCTCTTAGCGGTCATTGACGGCTGCACAAGGCCTGACGGAAGTTGCGCGGGATTTGCAGTAGCCAACGGGAATGCAAACATTATGGTCGGTGGAACGAATGCTGGATACCAGAGACATCGTCGGAGCTAAGGATCGGGGTCGCGTCCGTACGCATGGTTGTGTTCACAAGAGGTGTCGCGGTCAATTGAGTCGCAGTTCATGACACGACCTCAGATTTCCAAATGACTTTGTCTCAAAATGCTTTTAACTACCTTCAGGTCTCCGACGTGCCGAACTCATATATCGCACGCTTGCGGGGTACATTTTGGAAGACGCTGGGAGCCAACTTGGATCAGCGTCGACTGCAATCATGCGCCTCATCCGCTGATGCATTCATCCAAGATTTACCAAGGAAGAAACTTCCCCGCAGAATTTCCTAGAGCCAACACCTTCCCCAGACTCTGCCTCTCGATATTGAGCGAACAGAAATCTGGGGTCATCGGAGCTTTTCGACTTCCTCCAACCAGAGGATTCTCCGGGACCAAGAGGTTTCGCATACATCAGCCAACGCTCGGGTATAGCCATAATACACGTCCAAGCCGCCGTATCAAGCCACACATTGGTCATGTGGAGAGGCGCATGGTGCCTGTTGCATGAGGATGCTGCCGCGGCGCCGTTCGCGATCGAATCCCACCTAAGAGAGTTCATCGTTGATATGAAGCTGTCGGAAAACAAGCCACACTTTCAGCTTCGTGTAGATGGATAGCAACAATTATTGCGGTTCAAACGCCGATACTTTATACATAATTCAACTTGAGTATGTTCGTGTAATCTCCAGCAGAACATACACAACATCACAACAACACTAGTCATGAAACTCCCTACATCTCTCGTCCTCCTCGTGATGACCGCAGTCACAGCATCACCTACTCCGACCATCCAGGAAGAACCGGCAAAGGCCCTGCAGAAGAGAGCTAGCATTACAGATGCTGCTAACATCGGCTACGCGATGGCAAATGGAGGCACCAAAGGCGGAGCAGGCGGCCCTACTACCACTGTCAGCACTTTACCCCAGCTCTCGGCTGCGGCCAACTCCACTGGACCTTTGAACATTGTCGTCCAAGGAGCCATCAGTGGTGCCGCGAAGGTCCAGGTCAGCTCGGATAAGACCATCATCGGGAAGACTGGAAGCTGTATGCCCCTAATGTCTACTTGCCTCACTGATCCCTAACTGACTCTCTACAGCCCTCACTGGCATTGGCCTCACGATTCTAGGCCAGAAGAATGTCATCGTGCGTAACATGAAGATCAGCAAAGTGCCTGCTGCCTACGGCGATGGCACTACCATCCAGCTCTCTACGAATGTATGGGTCGACCATTGCGATTACTCCGGTGACGAGTCGGTGGGCAAGGACACCTATGACGGCTTGGTCGACCTTTCGCATGCTGCGGACTTTGTCACCATCTCCAACACTTACTTCCACAACCATGTGTGTTCTATCATCTCACGTCCCTCTGCAATGCTGAACAATGACTAACGCGAAACAGTCCAAAGGCACCCTCGTAGGGCACTCCGACAAGAATGCCGCTGAAGATACCGGCCATCTCCGCGTAACATACGCAAACAACCACTTCTACCGCGTCAACAGTCGCGGCCCACTGCTCCGTTTCGGCACAGCGCACATCTTCAACAACTACTACAACGAACAGTCTACGGGCGTGAACTCCCGCATGGGCGCGCAAGCTCTGGTTCAAAGTACCGTCTTTGAGAACAGTGGCAAGAAGATGGTCTACACGGAGAGCAGTGCTGAAGACGGATTTGCAGTTGTTGAAGACGTCTTGTTCGGCGGACAGAGCGCCAACACAGCGCCTCTGGGTAAGCTCAATGCGCAAAGCTTTCCTTACAAGTATGAGTTGCTGGGAAGCGCGAATGTCAAGGCTGCTGTTACCAAGGAGGCAGGGCAGACACTGTCGTTCTAGAGTGGTTGTGGTTGGAGGGCTAGGTACAATTCATGATATGCCAGTACTGACGTTTCTAATCCTGAATCGACGACTATACTACCTTTACACCAGGAAAGGCGTTGGACGACATGAATGATGTTACGATTCCACAAAAAAAACGATTAGATGATGTGTTATCCTCATCAAATGGTTGGAGTTGTTGCTCGGCCAGTACTCGGCCACCGAAATCCTGACCCACTCCACCTCCACTACGATACGCAAAAGCAAAAACAAAAACATACAACAGCGGGGATTCGCTAGTGGTCACCCACCTAACTACTAATCCGCCGGTACACTGCTTGTATATGGCTGAGCGGACGGGAAGCCTAATTTTCAGTGTCCTATGGTCGTATGTGGAAAGTTGAGCAAATACAACCAATCCATTCCGTGCCAAATAACTACAATATCTTCATCTACAGGCAGCACGCCATCTCTACACGTCCTTTCACAAGCTCAAGCGATGACTCAGCTGTCTCGGTGCTGTCCCGCAATTGTCAGGAGCCATTTCTGATGCCCTCTTACTCCAATCGCTTCTAACGTATAGTCAGGTTGTAACATAAATAAGCAGAGAAGAAAGATACTGCGTCGTGCCATAGCTATGACACGTCAGTACCTACTATTGGTATATGCAACGATATGATCCCATTACAATGGCATCAATACAACAAAACGACTCAATTTCATTCTCAGCCGAGGCGTAACACAACTCCATCTTAGTTTCTTGATCTGTCTCATTCGTCAGGATGTTCTGACCAGACAATTCGGTGTCATTCATACATCGTTCAGCCCTGCGATTCTGCAAAGTATACGCGATATCATTTCGATTCATATCTCATGTTGTTGTGCCTTCACACGAAAAAAAAGCAAGTAATAAGACACATCGTTACTGCAGAGAGGTGAGAAAACATGTTGATTGGCAGTTCTGCTACTTTGACTGATCATCGGTTGCCTGTAAGCGTATCGTGGGAGACACTGACGTCATGACGGGTTGCATGGACAAGCCCTATCAGGCGCGTTGTATCTTGGGAAAAAACGTAAAGTATCTGAGGCAGAATATAGAAATTGGATTTACTGATGATGAAGACAATAGCGAAGCTTCATATGCGTCTCCATGGGGTGAAGTTAGTTTCTGGCATTCTCTGGGACTCACACGCTACGCGCAACTGCCAACGTGCCCTTTGGGTAACCATACAATGCTTGCGCTACGGCCTCTTGAGCTTTCCTATAACAACAACATTCTTTGCGAAGATGACAAGCATGTGGACGATCGCATGATTTTGCCTTTTTGCCTGCTCTCAGTCTCCCAAACAATTTTCGTCTCACGGATGCCTGACCTACATCAGATGCATGCTCTGCGTTGTTCACCGACAAACGAGGGTCATCAGTGGATGATCAACCTAGCTGATTTCAAGTTTCTATATTGGTGAATCCTTGGTTGATGGGCGTTTCCCAGGCGATTTGTACTGCACACCGCATAAGGTGGCGAGACGGGGCTTGGTCGAGGTCCTCCACCATGCGCAGGTGCCCCTCATGCAAGATCTCAGCAATGAGAACACGTCGTCTTACACCAACTCAACGACTCAAAAGGCGAGTGTATTGCTCAGCCTGAAAGAAGCCACAGAATGGGCTGTACGTATCAAGGTGGTTGGGCGGCTTCGAGGTCGGCTGAATCGCAGCCTAGTCGTGGGACTCCAGCCTGGCCGTCGTTGCTTAAGTGATAAGGGCAACAAACTGTGACTGTGGCCTACGAAATAGCGCATCGTTTCCTCACATTCAAGGTTTGCTCTTGCTTTTCTGACAACATAGAAACGAGTTATCTCGCACTGGCACACTACCAGCATCTCGCATTGGCTATTGCATGTCGGCTACCAGGCCCATGTATCTAAGATGTACGACTACGATTTAAACACCGATACACCCGCGGCAAGACTTCCTGGCGGTCTCGAGCCTCCGACATTGGTTTTGCCTAATGAGGTATTAAAATCAAATGCAATGCATGCACCGTCATCAAACATCGTCACGATACGTGAAGTCGGAGATACCGTTCAACGTCATGATAATGCTGAAGATGCCGAGAATGAGCCTCTTACTCTTAACGAGGAATTGCGAGAGGCAGGTGTAAAAGGCCTCCAGAAAGACTATTTCTGGTCCGAAGCAAGCCTAAAGCGCATCATCACGGAAGAGCGCGTCATAGCTCTGTTATCGGGGTGCCCATACGCTGCTTCCGACCGTCAACTTTCGCCAAAGACCATCCTCAAAAGCTATTTGAAAGTATTCGCCATCTTGACTATGCTCGAGAAGCACGACGATATCTACGAATGCATGCAGCAAGGGGTTTCGGATGAGACTTTGCCCTTGGAGCAGATGGACCACGGCAAACGCTCAATCTTACTGAAAGGAAACGTGCTCTCCTGCTTCAACAATCGTCATTGGTCATATGCGAATCGAGACGGCTTCATAAGCTATCAATATCAGGTCAATCCCGTCTTGCTAGGACGTGATAGAGATAGTGCAAGTCATAGGGATTTCGACGAGAGCACCATCCTGCCGATAACAAAGGATACGTTCATCGAGAGAGCCGGCTATGGTGCTGTGTCGAAAGTGAAGCTTCACCCTGAGTGCCACGCTTTCCATGATGTCTTACCCTCGGTACGCAGTTGCAAGTAGTGTGTCCTGAACCCACTGACTTTTGATACTAGATCAAGACGACGGAATGCTTTGCACTGAAGAGACTTCTGCCCAGGAGAGACGGCGACGTTTCCAAGCAAGCTCTTGGGTTTGAGAAAGAGGTCGAGGCTCTGCAAAGATTGAACGGTTCTCCAAACGAGCACATCGTCACATTATTGATGACCTGGACTGTTAAAGACAGCATAACCGACAGATACTGTCTCTTATTCCCATGGGCGGAAGGGGACTTGCTATCCTATTGGGAACGTGAACCCTACCCATGCCGCGGTACGCAGCTGGACGTGAGAGCTATTCAATGGATTGCGAAGCAGATTGTGGGTATGGCTAGTGCATTGAAAACCATTCATAGTCCCGCACATAAGAGGAACCTGGAGCCGAAGCAAAAGTATGGTCGCCATGGCGATATCAAACCTGAGAATATCCTCTGGTACCCATCTCCGGTACAAAGCCAAAGGGGTACTCTTGTCATTGCTGACCTTGGACTCACTGAATTCAAATCCACCCAGAGCCGCTCGAATGTTCCTGGCGAAGGTCTCCCCACGACTCCTGGATACAGACCACCAGAATGCGATCTCAAGGGTGGCAAGATATCTCGCGCGTTCGACATATGGACTTATGGATGTCTTCTTCTGGAAATGGTGTGCTGGATGCTTGGCGGCCAGAAATTGCTGAATCAATTCGAGGACCACCGGACGACACCGGGAATAAACACGACTAAGAGTGAAATCTTCTTCGATATCTTGTCCAAAGACTTGACTGCGTCACAAGATCGATTGCGACCACCAGCGGCTTCTGAATCGGTGTATTACGAACATGCTGTCACAGTAAAAAAGGAAGTTCATGAAGTAAGTCGCAATCCCATATCTATGGCCGATAATGCTGACTCTACTGGAGTGGATTGCTCGTATCCACGCAGACCGATCCTGCACGCGGTTTATTCATGACCTTTTAGACCTAATCGAAGAGAAGATGCTAGTTGTGATAGCGCCAGACAGTGAGAGGATCGGGTCTTCTGAGCTTTATGCGGAGCTCGATAAGATGTATACAAGGGTTTGCAACCCGACAGACAATTACTGCCAGCGCCCGTGTCCAGAGGAGAAGCGCGTCGCTAAGGATTCTGTGCCTGTTGATGCATGTCTCAGCGAGCAAGCCCTGGGCCTAGTCCGTAGGACAAATCCGCGACTCAAATCAGTCACTGGAGAGACACGCCTTTCAAAAACACCAGATCAATTCAGGGCTATGAATTAAATGTAGGCCTTTCAAGTGTAATCTTCAGTTCTTTCGTATGCGCTCAAACATATGCATCGAATTTCAAGTCCAACTTTGCGTAATCTTTGATTGTTAAAACACAATGCGACCCGACGATGATCATGCAATAGCTTTGCACTGCATCATCACTCCTCTCTATAATGTTCAAAAACGCCCGAGTTCATCAGATTCTCTAGCTCGTGCTATTGTCGTCAGATAGTGTCAGGAGTATAATCCAAGGGGGCCTACCGGCTCTAGCCTACGTGGCATCTTGCATCGGAAAAGCCCTCGCGAATGCTGAGAATGAGGTCAGTGTCACTATTTAGAACACAAAGAGACACGTACTTTGACGGAAGCCTCTCCACGAGGAAATGTGCTACCCAGAAACTTCTCTAAGATTGCGCACTGGTTGTAATCCGCCTCGATGATTGCAATGACAGTCATGACGATGAGGTTGTTGAGTACACTGGAAATCAAAGCGCAAAAGCTATCGAGCTTCTGCTAGGACTAGAGCTAGGAAAGATGAGCTGAGATGTTTGACAACATTTGGGATCCAGGCGCGTGATGGGAAAGCGGAAATGCCTCGCCGGAGCCCCACCAATGCACCACGTAGAGGCTGCATGAGGCATTACACACCGGTGAACACCAAATGCGCGCCCCGATCATTATGCCGATGGTGTACTGCGTATCCAATGACATGTCGCTCATGCAAAAGATCGTTCTGCCCGCCGGTGAAGGCACCGCAGCCGCCTGCACACGGTACTACCAAGCCATCTTGCAAACAGACGCCTCAGCCTACTGTCCTGCCGGTACAACACCCCTTCGATCACACCTCAAAAGACCCATTTCACGCCTGTGTTTATGAATTAGAGTGCTTCTCGGCTTCTACCGAAATGGACTGGGCTCGCGATAATGCCTGGCTGAGTGACCAAAATACAGACCTTGAGAGAATATTCACGTATGCGCCAGGGACAGCGCTTGCCGTGAAAATCGTAAAATCGAACGGAGTATGTTCTTGTTTCGAATAAATAAACTAATACTAAAGCTCCTAGTATCACATACAAATATGGTCCCTTGAGACCGACGATGAGTGGGATGAGTGGTTATGCTATGTAAGCGTTTCGTCTTGTTGCCAATCGCCGTTCTTAATGTCAACAGGAAGCGAATGAAAACCATCTCGACCACGGATTGCATCTTATGTACGTATTCTTACGAGCAGTTTCTGATTGGCGATCAACTCTAATAGATGAAATAGCCTCGCCAGACGAGCGGGCGAAAGCTCTGGCAAAGACCCTACATCGCAAGCCATGTCGTACACTGAATGGCTCGGATACAACAGCGAAAACACTAAGTCAATGGTTGGACTTCGTTGCGCTCAAAACTTTGCTGCACTAGGAGGAAAGCAGAACGCAAAGCAAAGTTCCAAACAGGCCGACATCCGGAAGCTACCTTTCTCTCAGAATACTTTCAAGAGCATTTGCCAGAAGTTCCGAGTTCATAGCTCTATCACCAAGGCTATCACAAGGAGTGCCTCTCCCAGTTTCACTTGCGAGAAAGTAATAATGAATCAAGCAGCCTATGGTACGATGGTCTCTCGGCATCTTGCCAGCTAGCATCTAACTAATGCGACTCCCAGTGTACAACTGTCGCACCTCAAAAGAGTGGCCATTAGATATGGCGCTCTCTGCGACCTCATATCCAGAAAAAGGATCAACTTATGCCATCCTTTATGGTTGCGTACCCAATATCGAGAGATCCTTACTGCGAAGTCTCAACAGTGTTAGAGATGAAGCTTGTCATCCGCTGCTTATGTCCGGTATTTTTGCAGAGCTTGAGCTTCTACGCCATACCAGACAAGTCAGTCTGAATATCATAGATGTAGAGTCTAAGATTTTCGCGCTGGATTTTGAATCTGGTGACACGGAAGGCTTGGGGCGAAAAGAACTTGAGAAGCGAAATGAGGCGAAACGCAACACTTGGTTGGATATGACATACCTTAGGAACTCACTGATTACAACTAATGTTCAGAACGAGAAGATGTCAAAGCACGCCGCTGATCTAAGTCAGGAATTCTATCACTCGATTGAACATCCTAGGCAGTCTCCTGAATTTGATGAGCTGGAAACAAAGCTCGGAGCAAGGAGTGGAACAAGTGATACGCTGGTAGGAGACCAAGACTATGCGTCTCCCATCGCTCAAAAAAGCCTGGACCACAGCGGTCTCGCATTTGTTCAGCGCATGCGACAAGTAGGAAAAAAGATTGAGATCAGGCTGAACACGATCCGCGAGGAGTATGAGGTGAAGATCAGGGACTGCACCATGCGCGTGGATGGTATGGCTATGGCCACACAATGGGTAACAGGTCCAGACACTATTGTACGACGCTCGCTTACATCCATAGTCACACAGCGAAACAGCCGTAGAGATGGCCTTAGCTACAAACAGAGAGTCTAGAGTCATGAAGTCGATATCGCTGGTCACCATGGTCTTCCTCCCAGGAACATTCTTCGCGGTAAGAGAACTCACATGTATTGGCAAAACATACTAATCTTACGGTTTAGACTGTGTTCTCTATGACGTTCTTTGATTGGTCTGGAGATGATGGTAAGACTCGGGTATCCAACTACTTGTGGGTGTATATCGTCGTGACGATTGTTTTCACAGCCCTTACAATCGGATCGTGGTATTTCTTTGTCATTCATCGTCGGGCAAGCGAAAAGTCTGTAGAAGACGAGAAATGCTGATCGTATTACATTACCAGTACGCGTGAGCGTTGTGAGGTCTATATGTAGGGTATCTATCGAACAACGCCAGAGAAATGAGTTGTAGAGTGGAAATCACTCTGTGCACAGTCAACTTCGAAAACAGAAAAGTTTTTTAATCCAGAGTGTCACTTTGTTCGAAGTGTTGAGCCGCTGTTGTTGCTGTCGATGATGTTCGCCAGGCTGGTCAGCTTGTGCGTTGCTTCCTGCGGTTCCAGATGCTTCGTTCGTCTTGGCTCGATCACCGGGATTTTCTGCTTGTTGTGCTCCTTCGCTATCGCCTTCTTCAGTTCGGCTTCTATCATCTTCAGCAGAATTTTGCATTGTATTGTCAGAAGGCACCGGGCGCAAACTCGGACCAACATCCTTCGTGTACTTGGCCTCCATCTCTTTGGAAAACGAGATGTGTACCTTGTCGCACAAATCAATGGGAGTTCTCGATATGTCTCTAGTTGTCTTCCGTGTGCAATATTGCTGGTCGCTACCGCAGGACAATTCGATGGTCTTCAGTCTGGTGACAATATCAGCAGAACTTGCTCGCTGGCCAACACGCAAACGTAGGAGGTCGAACTCAATGAGGTCTACAAGATCGACAATGAAGTCGCTTGTGCTAGGGTGCTCCCGAAGCATTGTAAATTCCTACTTATCGTTAGTATCGCGCAAGCCACACGTATCGTGACAACATACATTACGAATGGACTGCTTCGCCTCTATAGAGCCTTCGTTCTTGTTGAAATGGAAGAAATTATCCAATGGGACTGGGAGCGTCGAATCTTCCTTCCGTCGATCGGAGAATTCCTGCACACCCTGCCAGCCAAGCACGTACCAAACAACGAATTGGAAGAGAACACAGCCAAAGGACCAGATATCAGACTCGGGTCGAACCCTTTCCATGATGTCGAATTCGGGTGATTTGTAGGTAGGTGTAAAGCCGCCTGCAGCATTCGCCTGCACTTCTTGCGAACGTGTACCATGGAACTCAGTCGAACCAAGATCAGATATCATTAGATCGCCGAGTTTGTCAATTGAGGAGCCGCCCGTAGGGTTCTTGAACCATAATATATTTTCTGGTTTGATATCACCATGTCGACCGTGAGTTCTCTTCTTGTCCTCAGGTTTAAGGTCACCTGGAGCTAAGCTTGTGTCGGATTCGTGTATGCGGTTCAAACCATCAGCTAGTCCAAGGAATTGATGAATCATCCATTTCGCCAAAACTTGGTTTCGAGGAAGATCGGACAGGTTCGGAAAGCGGTCTTTCCAGAACTGAAAAAGATTGCCATCTGCCCAGGGAAATATCATATGCAACCTATCATGGTGCTCGTATGTTGCAAGAAGGCGGACAATATGTCGATGCTTGATGGAGTTCAGTCTCTTGTATGCCGCCACCTCCCGGTTGTATGCTTTGCGACGGCTGTGCTCGATTGCCTCTATCTGCTGAAGTTGTTTGATGGCGAAGCTCAGCTTCTCTGATTTACCCTGGGCTGAATAAGCGGTTTGCGCAGTAAGGCGCTTGTAAATCACTACTCACCAATGGTGAAAGGTAGTCGTGATGCGCTGAATGTATCTCTACACGATACACGATCGAGAACCATGTCGCAACAGCATCATTAAGTACGTCGTCCTGCCATTTTTCTAAGAAAGGCAAAACTACACAGTGATGCAACGAGTAGTGTCGTAAATCTTCTGTCATGAATTTGAGGTAAGGCGCCAGAAAGCGCCCCTGGTAATTGGCAAAACTGTCGCGGTGTGTGACTTGCCATCGTGTGAAAAGCTGAATCGTTTTCGGTGATTTACCATTACAACGCACTTGGTCTTGATTGTGCTCAAAGTGGAACGGAAGATGAGAGTCAAATATGCCTTCTTCAATGAAATATTGAATTTCTTTTGCTTTGTCGATGAGGCACAAGATTGCAAAAATCTTACGCCGTGTGGTCTTCGTGCCGTTGGAGATCTCTTTAGTGGACCAGACTTCGTCCGCAATCTTGTTCAAATCTGATGTGAGCCCTGACCGCTTTAGCTCTCGTTTGATGTTAGGAGAGGTGATAATAGCTTCGAGCTCGCTGAGTGGTAGAAACTGTGACTGTGTAGAATTGGCTGCTGTGAGCATGTAACCTCGAATAAGTGTCTCCAGTGGTTCTGGGGGATCATCATCGAAATCGTCGGGTATCGAATCTGGTCGTTCGATGTCATTCTCTTTGGAAAAGTGTGTGCCAGCATAGTCAAAGTCATTTGGTCCTTTGCCGTTCAATCTTTTCTCAGCGATGTCGTATAACTGTTGTGAATCACCCCCATCTTCGACGGCGCTACTAATACCACTGACTGATCTGGATGCACTGCCTGATTTGATCTGTAGAGTGTTATCAAGAGTAGGATGCCATGCATTTTCCTCAGGTAAGAGGAGTTGAACTGTCGGTAGTTCCTGAGTTGCTTCTGGTGGGCTCTGTGAATCAAGATCAGTGACTCTGTGAAGCATTGAATAGATACACCAGGATACTAACATTCACCGGTTGTACCTCGGCCCCTGACTCATCAGACAAGGCCATGTTACGCAGGAGGCTGAGGCGTAGCTCTCGGCGACTATGCGTTGGTATCGATACTATGATGAGGGCAATCCTTGAACCCGGATCGGTTGGTAGGACAAAGAATCTTAGAACTAATTGGACAGTATATAAGAAGGCATTTCGTTGGCCTCAAAGAGCCTCGTTGACCGCTTCGAAGGTGTCCTGCCGTTAAGCGCCTCGCCCCCACTTGGCTAAGGAGTTCATGCATGCTGTGCAAGAACCGTTCTTCAGCCCGGTAATTGGCCCCTAGAACATGGCAATAACGCGCGGAAAACTCAGTATATGATTGGCTCTGGTTTGGGAAACAGGTTATCTCTGCTTGGTGGCTTCGGTTGTGTGGCTGCTGCTGAGCATGATCGAGCCAAACACGGCCTACGTCCGTAAGCGCTAATCTGAATGTGGAACGAAAGGGTGTAAGAAGCCCGAATAAATTCCATTGACGTAGCGGTAGAGTGTTGCGAAGGATAGATGGCTGAACCGGTGATGTAGATTTGAAAAAGCCACTTCGCACAGGCTGCGTAGCTTGGCTTCGAACGGAATGCCGCTATTGGACGCATTCCTGAGCAGGCGGTCACTTGCGGCGGCATGCATCGAGGCATACATACAGGCTGGTTGCCACATCAAAGTGGTGTGCCTGCGGGTCAAAATTCGTGTCACACTCCTCCCCCAAAGCTATCGTCAGCCGCTCCTCTGCCCTCGAGTCCTGCTTTAACCACCCCACAGCCGGACGACTCGAGGCAAATCTTAACGTATCACCTTGGCTTTGATCTCGAATATAATAATCTTACCCGCGCTTGTCGGGTATACATCGTACTGTAGCGCACAAATCCGAACTCACGACTCGGACCAGACCTAGATATGACGGGTTCTACTCACAGCCAACGCGACGCATCACCAACTGAGGTTCCGTCCGGCCGACAGGTACCAGCTAAATGGATACACAGCCCAAACGAGCTTTTGAGCACCATGAACAGAGTTGTCGGCAAAGACAACGTCTGTGTTGAAGTAAGCGTCGCCACGACCACTATGGAGCTTGAGCATCGCTGAACAACTACCAGATGCAACACAATACGTATAGCATACGATTGCTTCGAGACGTAGATGTCGATCTCGATAGTGTCCTTCGGGACTACTTTACAAATAAATACGATGGGGTGTGAAGATCGGAATCGCTCGTCAGGGAAACTTCAGCGGTTCGATATCGGTCGGCACACTGAGTAAGATCGGTGGAGCTTCGGTACACTCTAAAGGTCTTCTGCGAAAGATTGGTTGCATCCCTTAGTCTTCCACAGTGCGTTTTGCGTGTCTGAACGTCGGTTGTGTTGTGTTTTCCTAGCGATCTCGCAGAGTTTATTTTGTGTGGTACTGCAGGCCGTATGAGTGCACAAAAAAATACGTTTCTACTGGTAGTCTTGCGAAAAGTGTAACAAACGGGGTGATGTTATGAAGACGAAGGTGATGGAATCCGAAGGCACGGCAAAGCTAGAACAGTGGGCGGGCGCGGAGGCTGCGGAAATGAGACAGCCTAGCGTGTTACTTGGCTACCGGCTGGTCTAGTAGGTACTTGCCAACCACCAGACCCGCCTGTGATCTATAGTGCGAGCGCGCAATAAGATATCACGTGGAAGAGCGAACATGACTTTACTATCAATTTCAAGCCACCAGCAGGCTCAGATGCACACTTTCTATTATCGTGGAGCGAACACGCTCAATCCACATAATCCAGATAACCCGTGCATGCGCTGACGGCTGATAACCAACCGCCCCCTTGCTCACGTACAGGTCCTGGCATTCGATACAGCTGCGCCTTCTACATCAGGCCAAGGGCAAAGAACCCTACTGACTGGCGGCTAAGTAGCAGCCCATTTTGCTCGATGTTAAATGGAGGGGCCAGCACCACCTTAGGCGGCCGTTCGCCTTGTTGCTCTTCGAACAGTATGTCGCAATTCAGGGTCAGGCAAGCAGAACTCCGCGATCTGCCACGCGTTACAACAGTCGGCCTCGCCAGCTTACCTGACGACCCAGCGTTCGTGTGGCTTTACAGGTATAGGCAACAATATCCTGATGATAACTACTTTTTCTGGCTGCAAGTATTCAAGACTTATTTGTATACCCCCAACATCACGTTTCTCGTAGCTGAAGAGGTTGCATCGTTGGACAAGAAAAGCGAAGACCGTGGAGAAGCAGTAGCGACCATATTCGCTTTCGCAATCTGGGAGAGGAATGAGAAGAAGACGGCGACACAGGCTCTAACCAGTCTGTACAACAATTGCTCTTTGGAGACGCTACACCGTGAGCATTCATGCGTGAACCCTGACTCGAATGACGCTGAGTAGCTATAGGTTGCGTCACCAAGCTAGAGAACTGGGCCATACGCCAAGAGTTCCCGCGGCGCGATGCCGATGTGAATCGACTGAGGGCGTTTGAGAAAGGGATGAACTACACCCACTCAAAATATTGGGAAAAGACATACCCCCAGAACTTCTACCTATCTCTGCTCGCGACCCATCCAGACTATCGTCGGCGAGGCGCAGGTACCGCGCTCACTCAATGGGGTATCGATCAAGCCATGACTGCTGGCTTCGATGTTGGGCTTGAGGCAAGTCCAATGGGATTTCCACTATACCAGCATTTAGGTTTCATTCATTTGGGAGACCATGTACTGAAGGCGGATAACGATTCTACGAGTGTAGTGTTGAGGATTATGGTATACGAAAGGGACCAGAAGTCATTGTCGGTCTGATTCTTGGGTATGAGTCTATGAGAGAGGCTTTGGCCTGTTCTTGTTATGTGCTGTTGAGTTTGGGTGCCGAGCCGCCGTTCGAACGGGAGCGGAAACTGGAACAGCGCCCGAAGTACCGACGGCCCAGTCAACTGCTACCGCGCATCCCCTAATTCATCTCTTCTCAACACCGTAAAGCCATGCAACCGTGCCACCGGAAACGGAGCAATAGCTTTCATTTCTCACCTTCTGAAGATGTATCGTAGCGCCGAACAAGATATGCTTGACGTGCGGGAGCGGACGGTATGTTCGCTCGCAGTACCGCTCAGAATGAAGCTATAAGAGCGTAGCAGTCGCTTCTACCAACCGCATCATCGATCGCAATCAAATCTTCGTTCTCATTGCTAAGCCTTCTACCTGAGAGTGCTTTCTTTGTAATAAACCCTCCATCATGAGCATCGGAAGAGCAGCAGCCTCACGTGTGTGTGGCAAACCTGTAGGCCCCATCGGATTTGGAATGATGGGTACGCTGTCATGCACAAAACGGAAGAGAACTACTCCTAACAGACTCCTCAGGCTTGACCTTCCCTCCTCCGTTCCCCCAGTTTGAGCGCGAGCATCAGACAAGCCTACTGAAAAAGGCATTGGACCAGGGTGCCAACCTTTGGAATGGAGGGCTTCACTATGGCACGCCAGAATCAAACTCGGTACACTTGCTGCGACACTACTTCGAGAAGTACCCCCAGGATGCTGAGAAGGTTGTCCTCAACATCAAAGGTGCCTACGACCGTTACACCGGACCAGCAGGAAGTCCGGAGGCTATTCGCGCATCTGTAGAACAAGCTCTCAAAGGGTTGGGAGGCGCAAAGGCGATTGACATATTCGAGATGGGTATGAGGATTCTAAAGGCTCATGAGATTGTTAGCTAAGGACATTCTAGCCCGTGTCGATCCCCGCACGCCCATTGAGACTTCCATCAAAGCCTTGGCTGAGCTGGTGAAAGAGGGCAAGATTCGCGGTATTGGCCTGTCCGAGGTCAACGCGAATACCATTCGCAAAGCTCACGCCGTGCATCCCATCGCATCCGTAGAGATTGAGTTGAGTTTGTTTACACCCGATCCGCTCCACAATGGCGTCGTGGACACATGCCATGAACGTAAGTCGATGCGCGCTGAACTCATTGGAAGGCCAACATCGATAACGAAATCCTAGTCGACATCCCTGTCATCGCGTACAGTCCAGTCGGACGAGGCTGGCTTACGGGCAATTTCAAAAAGATCGATGATCTGTTGCCAAATGACTTTCGAGTTCAGATGTTCGACCGCTTCAAGCCTGAAGTTTTCGATCAAAACTACAAACTTGTCGAAGCCGTTGAGAAGGTCGCCCATCGCAAAGGCCTCAAGACATCGCAGGTCGCTATCGCTTGGGTAGCGCGTCAAGGGGCGATTCCTATTCCTGGATCCACCAATATCGAGCGTGCCACCATGAACAGCAGGCTATCAGAATTGACCGACGAAGATATGGAGGAACTTTACAAGGCACAGCAGACCTTTCCCGTAGCAGGTAAACGATACGGAGGCGCACACGAGGACCTGCTGAACGGTTGAACTTTGCGCCGTAAAGGTCATGTTGGAGATTTCGGAGTTTAGACGGACGGGAAGATACATCCGTCGCATTACCTAGTTCCATCTAGTCTGTTCCTCCTCATCATCATTGTTGCCCCCCAAAAAGTGCCAACCTGCTATCACGACACCTCAGTCGCTATGGATTCATCGAATGAAGAACTAGAAGACGCAACAGTCACTTCGCAGAACTCTACTCATACACATCATGGATCATGCACAGTGTGTGCGAAGGCTAAGAGCAAATGCATAAGGCGTCCAGGAAACGGCGATTGCGAGAGGTCAGTGACCGCATTACAGCTGGTTGAATAGCATGGCAAACCAATCTGCAAAACGCGCAGTAGACAAGTCGACTAATTCAGTGTGTCCTTAGATGTATACGATTGCACAAGACCTGCCAGATTCGGGAGCCAGTGAAGCGCAAACGCAAGGCGAGAAAAACCACGTAAGTTCAGCTCGAGCCATGTTTTCACTGTATATTAGGATGCTGAGTTGCTAGCAGACGATCTGCTCAATTGCAAAATCTTGAAACAAAGCTCGCAGACATAGCTCAGGCGTTGGCCATCAAACAAGCACAAGAAGTATCTGCAGGATCGAATTCGCGGAGTCCTATATCACAGCAAATGGACGCGTTATATCAGGAGAGCGATGATACGTATCCAACACCACTGGTCATAACGCCAAACATTACGAGATCTAACGACTTTCTGGCCTCTGCTCATGACCCAACACTCGAGACAGTGAATCCCGAACACGTGTCAACGGGGATGAATGCGACACATACCGACGTCTTGCTCGATCGCTATCAGAGGCTCATGGCGCCTCATATGCCTTTTGTGGTGATTCCAAGTGGCATCAACGCTTCTAGCTTGGCCAGTAGCAAGCCGTTTCTCTCAAAGGCTATCGAGACGATAGCTTTCTTTCATGACACAGTAACCCAAAAGCACATGGTGAAGGATCTCATGCAACAAGTCTCCGAGAGGATGTTGATCAAGGGCGAGAAGTCGCTGGATCTACTCCAGGGTAAACACACCCACACATTGCATATGACACATATACTGACTCTGTACATCGATATCCTAGGCATGTTAGTGTTCGGCAATTGGTATAACCCACATCTATTCGCACCACCAAGCCACACAGTACTCCTGCATCTTACCATGGCACTCACCCACGATCTAGATATCGACCGTGCACCAGGATTTTGCGAAAAGGTGGCTTTGATGGCAGCCTCACAGGCGCATGGCGTACCACAACCGGCGAAAGTCGTAACGAATGACGAGCGACGCGCAGTGCTTGGAACATTCTATCTAACTTCACAAATTCTCACATCATTCCGGAAAATCGACACCCTGCATTGGTCTCCTTGGCTTACAAAGTGTGCTGAAGCACTGACGCAAGCTAAAGAATACAAGAGCGACATTTTACTTGTACAATTAGCGCAGAGTCAGCGCATCATGCAGGAAGCCATGGGCACAGAATGTGATCATGCACCAGTGAGTTTTTACGCCAAGTCGTTCCTCAGCGACCTCGATAACATCGAGCTGGCATCTGCAAACGGGATGTCAGCGATAGTGCTGCGTTTGCAGCAGGCTTGTACCCGAACTGCTGTCTGGGAACGCTCATTTGGGAACTTAGCCAGTCATACAGTCAAAGAGACGGACCTACGACAGAGATTAGACGGCATGTGGCACTGCATGGACGCTGCGAAAAGGTACACAGATATATACCTGGAGCTACCCGTCGAAGAATATCCTCTTGTCCCTTTCGGTGTTTTTGCGCAGTTTGCGTACATCTTCGTTGTGCTTGTCCGAGCGAGTTTGATCGAGATGGACGGCTGGGATGTTAAAGCTCTGAGATCATTCATCGACTTCTCGTCGCTTTTGGAAAAAGCCTCGCAACGCTACGATGCTGTGTCGACATCTCATCCTGATGGTCTGATCCTGAACAACGAGGCGTTTGCGAAGTGGTCTGCTAAGACAAAGTGGGCGAAGTCATTCTACGACACAAAGTTCTTGCCTGTTGATCCGAATACATCGACCGTCAACCAGCCTCCGCCTGGGTGTACGACTATTGAAGCGGACGAAACTCAGGAGTCGCGTAGAGCTTTTCCAACGCCACTACAAGTTCCAGCAGAATTCTCAACAGATACTTTCGCAATTGAGGATTCGATGTGGCATAGTCTCGGCAATCCGGCAATCTTCTTAGGAGACATTGATTCCGCGTTTACCGACATACCATGACGTCCTGTATTCAAGGGCAGCAGACAAACACAGCGAACTGTATGGGAACCCCACAGGAACTCGTTCAGTGCATTCCGCAACAAACGATCTTAGCCCGATCATATCTGGGACACCAAAATTGGGCGACTTTATAGGCTAGCTCTGTTCAACTTCATTATTACTATAAAAAGTCATAGTAAGACATGGTGAATAGTAGGGTTGGAAAACTATTACCCTACTCCTCCACTCTTTGGTGCAATAACACCCAGCCGACTACAACGTCAACCTAAGATAAACCGACGAGCTTTCAAATAACCCCTTAGCCTTTTGGAAGCAAAAGAGCAATCAAACCATGTATTTCAATGTCTGATATTGCAGAGTAGTCTTGACCGATGTACTGTTCATGAGATAGCTCTTTTCGAGCGGTTGTACTCGAGTCATCATAACCTGAAAATGTCTACCAGGTTCATTCGAGTGTCAATCAATACAGAATACCGCAAATGACTCCAGGATATACCATGGTTTGAGAGTTAGTTGATACCGTCCAAAGAAACCATACTTCTTTGCACACGAATCTAATCTTTTCTTCTGCCGCCAATGAAAAGTGCCGCCAGAACCACTGTGCATCCACAAATACCAGCAAGCACCGCGTTCATATTTCCGTACCCAATCGTCTCTCTTAGTTTCCCCGCCAGTAATGGGCCCACAGTCAGTCCACCGCTCCACACCATGCTGTTGATGCCGTAAAGTTGTGCGTACGGAGCTTGGTCGAACATGTCTTCGTTCGCCTTATAATACTTCTCGACAAGATTGCCAGCTTCAACGAAACTGGGGCTGTTGATTGCTGCCAGACCAACTCCACTCATCGCTAGTAGTCCCGCGTAGAGTGCGATGAGGTGTCCATTGTCTAGCCTCTGAATTATACCTGATTCAGTCGGAAGCCGGAGTAGTGCGAGCGCCGGTATCAACCAGGAGAACCCAAGGACAGCTGCTGGCTTCGTACCATAGCGGTCGACACACCACCCAAAGACTGGGCCCAGTAAGAAATCCGCACCGCCAAGCGGTAGAAAGAGCAGTCCAGCTTTCAAGCTGTCGAAGCCAAACTGCTCTGAAGCTACCAGTGGCACGGTGGCATCGAAAGACCCAAGCAGAAGAGCTTGCATGAAGCCGATCCAGATAGCAGTCAGAAGGCCCGCATCGCGGAACAGCATGAGGATGGGGAAGTTGCGTGTGAAGCGATTCGTAGGCTTGGGCAGGCGATAACGATCAATCGTAGAGTGGCTGTTTGGTAGGAGAGGTGTCTCTTCTGAATCTTCGTGGTCATTCCCGTCTGGTTCCGATGCATGCGAATCAGGACCATACTTTGCAGCCACCTTCTTCTCCACGACGAGCACTCTCAAAATAAAGTCGACACCAATCAAGCCTACGCCAACGCCAAAGACGCCTTTGTATCCAGTCCTGGCATATAGAAGTCCTCCAACCATGGGCGAGAACAGTCCAGCGACTGAGATGAAGCTAAAAATCGTGCCCATAGTCTTGCCTAGATTCTCGTTCCCAACGGTCTCGATCACGAGAGCAATACCGATAGTCCACACCACGCCGCCCGACGCTCCCTGCAGGAACCGCGCAATGGCTAGAACAGCAACGCTACGTCCGAGAGCAAGAAGGATAGTCGAAAGGAGAAGCAGTATAAGCCCTAGGAGAAACGGCAGCTGTCGAGACGAGGACCATTTGTCGGCTAGGATACCAGCAATGGGAGACGCTGCACAAGAAGCGGCCGCATAGACTGCCAGAAGGTTTGATATCGTGCTTTGAATCTGCGAATCTGGAAGATCGATACGGTCCTTGAGCAGAAATGGAAGTACCGGTACAATCAGTCCATACAGGAACAGATCCACGAAGGCGCCCATGCCCACAGTGAAGACGATGAACAATGGGTGTGACCGCCATCGCAGCCCTCTTGGTAAGGACATTGTTGAGATGACTCTGAGAGTTTATAGTGTGCTGACAAAACTTTGGGTCGGAACCATAAACAAATGCAAGATTGATGGTCCAGCTCACTTGAAAGGCTTCTGGAGAAGTTTCCGCACGAGCCCTTAAACATATGCTGACGTCAGTGCTCGCTGAGAAATGCAAGCGGCCAGACCACGCGTAGCAGCGACGGAAAACAGACGCGAAAACTATTGGCGATACAAAAGAAACATTGCATCGATAGAAGAGCAGCCCAGATGATGCCTACACAGTCGTCCATGTCGCATAGGTCAGCTGGGGGACTACGGCTCTTGTATTATGTTGCGAACCAATAGCCATGGCTCCTGTCGTTTTGGGAAGATAGAAAGGGCGAGACACTTGGTGCAAATGGCAGTCCCGGAGTGCTGTGCTCGCCGTCACGTGCGGACGCAGCCTAGCGTGCTTGGCGCGGATCTCGAATTCAAGCTCCCGATAGCTTTCACCCGCTAGGTGAGACGACGCCGTACAACCCCACTCCACACACAACAGTCGCTTCAAGATGGCGGACAAGATGGAGGGCGTAGTAATGGGCGGCGGTCTCGTAGACCCCAGCAAATACCCAGTGCCCATTGAAACGTAAGTGCAAGATCATGCCCAAAAGGTAGGTCCCCTTGATGCTAATGGAGAACCACAGAATCTACGTGAGTTGAAGATGAGGGCGCCAGCAGCGCACTCGCATTGCACTCGGCGGTGCTATTGCTGACAGCACTAGGTCAACAACCTCGAGGAGCGCGTTAAGATCGATACTATGAAGCAAGCCTTGACTCGAGTCTTCCAATACTACGGTCCGATTCTCGATGTTATCGCGAAGAGCAGTCTGAAGCGCAAGGGCCAAGCTTTCATTGTCTTCGACAGCGAAAAGGCCGCGCTGGAGGCGGTAGAAGAGATGAACGGGTTCGAGATGTACGGCAAGGTCATGAAGGTGCACAGGGCGAAGACACACAGCGACGAGACGGTCAAGCGAAAGGCGCCAGAACTGTTCGACGACCACAAGCGCAAGCGTCTGACACTCAAGGGTACGCGTCTTCTGCTCCTGGCGTTTCAAACACTAACCGGTACAGACTTCAAGCGCGCCGAAGAAGATGCGAAAGCGCAAGCCAATCCAGTCGCTGCAGAGAAGCCTCGCGCTGCCAAAACTGGAGCGGCTGCCGTGCCCGACGAATATGTCCGACCCAACAAGACGCTCTTCCTACAGAACATTCCCCGCGATGTCGACGAGGAGGACCTCACGACGATATTCGAGCGCTTCGAGGGCTTCAAGGAAGTGCGCTTGGTCTCAGTCAGGGCCGTGGCCTTTGCGGAATTCGAAAACGAGCAGTTTGCGATTACAGCGAAAGAAGCGACGGCCAACACGCCGATTGGCGCAGAGGGCAAGCCCATGAAGGTCACATACCAGCGGCAACAGTAGGTTACTGTACATGGATTTATTGCTATGGATTTATGCGTTTATGATACCTCGTTCGGCATTCTCAGATACAGGCTGGCATAATAGAGTCTTATTATCTGAAGGCCTATCTTCACATCTACATGGTACAATGCTCATCTCTTATTTAGCTTCGCAGACGACGCGCAGAGTTGGGGTGGAAACGGAATGTGGTCTTGGGAGGCTGTGTCGGCATTCTGGAAAGCCCGAGAGTTCAAGCAAGGACATGACGAGTTTGTCCTTGCGAGGAGATACAAGAAGAGGTCCTACTAGGCGTCCGTCGACTACTCAGAAGATGACGTCCTCGTTGTCCTCGTCGCCAAGCATGTCCTTGCTCTCGGCAGCATCTTGTCTCGCCTCACTCTCGTCCTTCTCGTCCTCCTCGTTCTTCCTCTTTGCCGCGACTCTTGCGGCTTCTTCCTCGGCAGCGTCTTTCTGCTTCTTGTTGGACACTTTCTTCAGGCGGTAAAACTCCTCTCGGTCTAGCTCGTCGAGCTCAGAGTTGATGTACTTGATAGTGTTCTCGGTGCGGGGGATAATGACGTGCTCACTGTTGGCTGTTAGTTTTGGCAGTTGTCTCAAAGGAGATGATACCCACATGGCGTTTACACGGCGGTTGACCACTTTGATGACCTCGTCCAATATAACAAAGGCAGTCTGCAGACTAGCCAGTTCCACCAGCGTCTCCACTGCCCTTGCATACGTCTCTCTGCATCTTTGTACTTGCTGACCACCCTTGCCCAGACCTGTCAGGGCAAAGTCGTTGTTCTGCTCGACGGTAAAGCTCTCGAACTGAGGCAGGAAGACACCAGAGACGTTCTCTTGTTTTGTCCGCACACGGAAGCGGGCTTGCTTTGCGGACTCCTGGATCTGGTAGCCAATGTCGCCGCCGACGGCATAGGTGACTTCGGCGAGGGAGAAAGCAGCAACCTGCATGACACGGCCCATCTTGCGCTTCGCCTCATCGATACGGCGCGTTATTTCTGGAAACGGCTTCAGTTACACGGGCACATGGTGGGGGAGTCTACGGCGTAGTCGTACCTCGGAAACGCCTGCATACGGTCAGCGAAGCTTGGGGAGGGTAGAGCAGACAGTGAGTGCATACTTGGTGAGGGCTTCGCTCTTGCGCTTCAGCAAGTCGTGGCCGGTCTGAGCGCCCTTGAGCTTGCTCTTCATCAGACCCAGCGACTGCCGCGTCGCGAAGACGGCCTCTCGTGCCTGGGGGTCGAGTTAGCATCATGGACGGTGCTGCATTGGATAGCTATCGCTGGCCGTACCCCGCTGCCAGACATGTTTGCGGCTCGAACAGTTGGTGGAGAAGGCTATGGGGCTAAAACCGAATATAGAGGCTGACAATGCTCCGGCGATAGGCTGGTAGGTGTCTCGGAGCCAGTCAGCGTGCGCAGTCCGACCAAGTGAATCCAACGGAACGTGACGCAGCTATGCCGGGGAGCTATGTGAGACGAGTCCGTGCTCGCGCGCCTGCCAACTATGCAAAGCGGGTCTTCGGGATGCACGTTGCTTATTGGCTGCAGGCTACCGCTGACCGCTCGGACTCCATCACTCTTTCCCTCAGAACTTTAACGCTGCGACACGCTCCATCAGCCGTCCAGCACCGCATCCCATCGCCTTCCTGCCCACCGCGGGCCAACACACGCCCTGGCTCTGGCGCAATCATGCCCGGCGAACTCCTCAGGACCGTCACCGCGAGCCTCTCGCGGCCCACCAAGCGGAAGATGGAGCCGTCGTCGGACCTTTTCCTCATCACCGACCAGGACGTCGCGTACGAGCAGGACATCCAGCGCAACGCGGGCAGCGTGAAGCCCTGGCTGGACTACTACAGTTTCAAGAAGTCGCGTGGGAGCATCTTGGAGCAGGCCTTTGTGCTCGAGCGCGCCGTCACCACCCTGCCGCGTTCCTACAAGTTGTGGAAGCTGTACCTCGAGCTCCGCACCAAGCACCTCTCCAAGAAGAATCCTGCCAAGTTCGCCGCCCACTATGTCAAGGTCAACGCCCTCTTCGAACGCGCCCTCGTGCTGCTCAACAAGATGCCGCGCATCTGGGAGATGTACCTCAACTTCCTCATGCAGCAGCCCCTCGTTACCACCACCCGCCGCACCTTCGACCGGGCACTGCGCGCCCTTCCCCTGACCCAGCACAACCGCATATGGGCTCTGTACCGGCCGTTTGCGACGTCTGCGTCGGGCGAGACGGCTGTCAAGATCTGGCGTCGCTACATGCAGATTCACCCCGAAGACGCCGAGGACTTCATCGAGCTACTCAAGGACATGCGCAAGTACACCGAGGCTGTGAAGCAGTACATGGAAATTCTCAACAACCCGCGCTTCAAGAGCAAGGAAGCAAAGGGGCCCTTTCAGTTTTGGACAGAGATGATCGACCTGATGATTGACCACGCCAAGGAAATCGACACGAGCGACGACAGTGGCATCAACGTCGAGAAGATCATCCAGAGTGGCATCTCCAAGTTCCCCGACCAGCGCGGTATCCTCTGGGTTGGCCTCGCACGGTACTGGATGCACAAGGGCGAGTACGAGAAAGCGCGCGATGTCTTCGAGGAGGGCGTGACCACTGTCATGACTGTGCGCGACTTCTCCATCGTCTTCGACACATATGTGGAAGCCGAGGAGGCCATGATCGGAATCAAGCTCAACGAGGCTGCTGCTCGATCGGAGAAGGGCAAGATTGATGAGGCTGCTGACGCGGACCTTGACATCCGGATGGTCCGCTTCGAATCACTCATGCAGAGGAGACCGTTCCTGCTGAACGATGTCATGCTAAGACAGAACCCGCACAATGTCATCGAATGGGAGAAGCGTGTCGCACTTTGGGGCGACAACAAGAAAGAGGTGGTACAAACCTATACCGATGCCATTGCCGCGATCAATCCGAAGAAAGCCCTCGGTAAGTTCCACGAGCTCTGGACCAACTACGCCAAGCTCTACGAATCAGGCGGCGATCTCAAGAACGCTCGTGTCATCATGGAGAAGGCTGTTAAGGTGCCCTTCAAATCGGTCTCCGAGCTGGCCGAGATGTGGTGCGAATGGGCAGAGATGGAGCTCCGCAATGAAAACTTTGACAAGGCCGTAGACATCATGGCCAAGGCCACGCAAGCGCCTAAGCGATCAAACGTCGACTACTTCGATGAATCACTGTCGCCACAACAGCGTGTACACAAGAGCTGGAAGCTGTGGAGTTTCTACGTCGATCTCGTCGAGAGTGTCAGTACTCTAGAGGAGACAAAGAAGGTTTACGAAAGAATCTTCGAGCTCCGCATCGCAACGCCGCAAACCATTGTCAACTACGCAAACCTCCTGGAAGAGAACAAGTACTACGAAGACTGCTTCAAGGTGTACGAGCGCGGCCTCGACCTGTTCAGCTACCCTGTCGCTTTCGAGATTTGGAATCTCTACCTGACCAAGGCTGTGGACCGCAAGATTGGAATGGAGCGGTTGCGAGACCTTTTCGAGCAGGCTGTCGAGGATTGCCCGCCAAAGTTTGCCAAAGTGCTGTACCTGATGT